GAGTGTCCCACAAGAGTGTCCCACAAGAGTGTCCCACAAGAGTGTCCCACAAGAGTGTCCTGCAAGAGTGTCCCACAAGAGTGTCCCACAAGAGTGTCCCGAATGAGTTAGCCACAGGAGTGTCCCACAAGAGTGTCCCGCAACAGTGTCCCGCAAGAGTGTCCCACAAGAGCGTCCCGCAACAGTGTCCCACAAGAGTGTCCTACAAGAGTGTCCCGCAAGAGCTTCCTACAAGAGTGTCCCACAAGAGTGTCCTACAGGAGTATCCCACAAGAGTGTCCTACAAGAGTGTCCCACAAGAGTTTCCTACTAGAGTGTCCCACAAGAGTGTCCCACAAGAGTGTCCCGTAAGAGTGTCCCACAAGAGTTTCCTACAAGAGTGACCCACAAGAGTGTCCCACAAGAGTGTCCTACAAGAGTGTCATTTGGACATATGTAGCTTTTCGAACATGTTTGCATTCGGGTTCGTGGGCTCCATCTTTTTCTCTCTCTCTCTCTATATGTATATATATATATATCTCTTTGCAGATGAAATGCTCCTTCTTTGGCCTGAGATTGATGTCCATGTGGCCTCTCGAGCTGAAGGCTTGCACAGCTGAAGGGCTTCGCAGCTTCTCGGTGTAGCGATGTCGCAAGTTCAAGGTGCACGCGACGAGGAACAAGGTAGCCTCGATGAGGGAGTCGCTGCGGAATCGCGCGAGCATGAGAGCGATGCGACAGAGACATCGAGGAACCAAGCCCGGGTGTCCATCGTATTTTTTGGCAAGATCATTCATTCTTGCTGTTCCTTCCTCATTGCCATTGCATTGCTCTGCGCGATCGTGCCCACTACCATGCTGCAGCATCCAAGTGGTTTCTACTACCTGGGCTCGGCCGGCATTTGTGCTCTCGTTTGGGGTGTCATGGTCTTGGCCAGTGGTTTGGAGAGCTTGGCGATTCCAGCAGCCTGGATCGACGCGCCGAAGGACGATACGTTTGCAACTGCGGAGGAGACTCTACGTGAGACCTTTCCAAAGACGCCTGCAGGAACCAGAGTTTGCGAATGCATCTTCATTCTAGCTCGAGGCTTGGCGAACCCAGTGGTGCTTGCATATGGCTACTTGACATTGCCAGCCCGAAATCCTTATGAAGCCTTGAACTTCTTCAGGTACTGCCTGGCTTGGTTTGAAATGCCCATTGCTTTGGTTCTCATCATTCTGACCATCTTCAAGGGCATGAACTGGGCTTGTTGCGCAAGAGGAAGGGCTCTCAGCACCTTTGCTCGACAATTGTACAGGTCTGGGCGCTTCTCAGCATTGTCCTTCTTGCACATGGCGAGCCCCCCCAAGATGCTAAAGACAGTGCTGGCAGCTCGGCGGCGAATCATACTGCTGGTGGCCAAGCAGAAAGAACCAGCGTCGATTAGCCGTACAGCTGATCAAAGCCGCAGCACCCTGATGTTGAAAAAGGAACTCAACAATTGGGAAACGTTCAACCTTCTACTTCGAACCGTTGTGGTGGGTTTGGCCATGCCCATGGTATATGTGACTGCAGCAGTCGGAGCAGTTCTTGTGAAGATCTCACAGGTGTCCTTCGTCGCGACCAAGCAGGTGAACGAGTGGACGATGTTGGAGTACATTCAGTTCCTGTCCTTCGTCAATGCCTTGACAGGGCTTGGGGAGGACACCAACATCCTGGTGCAGCAGAAGCTCGTGTGGGAACGCTACTCTGAGGACCTCGACCGAGACATCTCCGAGGACCGAGTTGGGCTGCGGCAAAACACCCAGACAGGACCATAGAATAGCTACATGAGTGTTGCAGCTTGGAAGGTCTTTTGTCTTCCCAAAGCCAACAAGTCTTTCAGGTCGGTTTTGGTGGTCCTTGAGGTCCGTTGCGGCCGAGGTCGGTCTTCGCCACCTGACCTAAGGACTGCAAGGACTGCAACGGTATTCGGCCCCCC